GGGGCACTGGGGCAAAGGGCGCGGGGCAGCGGCGGGGGCGCCGAGCCCTGTGTGCAGGGGCGCGGGGAGCGCGGAGGGGCCGCGACGGGGCGGGGGGCAGCGGCGCCTGTGGGGGCGTCTTGAGTGTGCGGGGTTTGCAGGAGAGCCTGGTGCTGCGGGTGTGCACAGCGACCATGGCACTGCGGCTGTTTGTGGTGCTCTGGGTGTGCGTGATGCCCGTGGTGCTGTGGGTGTTCATGGTGCTGCAGGTGTGCAGGGTGCTGCGGGTGTTCGTGGCGGTGTTCGTTGTGGGTGTGCACAATACCCGTGGCGCTGCGGGTGTGCAGGGCATTGCGGGTGTGCACAATATCTGTGGCGCTGCGGGTGTGCAGGGCGTTGCGGGTGTGCACAATACCCGTGGTGCTGCAGGTGTGCAGGGCGTTGCGNTTGCGGGTGTGCACAATATCTGTGGCGCTGCGGGTGTGCAGGGCGTTGCGGGTGTGCACAATACCCGTGGTGCTGCAGGTGTGCAGGGCGTTGCGGGTGTGCACAATATCTGTGGCGCTGCGGGTGTGCAGGGCATTGCGGGTGTGCACAATACCCGTGGCGCTGCGGGTGTGCAGGGCGTTGCGGGTGTGCACAATACCCGTGGTGCTGCGGGTGTGCAGGGCGTTGCGGGTGTGCACAATATCTGTGGCGCTGCGGGTGTTCGTGGTGCTGCGGGTGTGCACAGCGCCCGTGGTCTCGCCGGGCTGCGCGCTGCCCACGCGGTGCCCAGCGCCGCGCATCTCGTGCAGCGGTCTTGTAGCGGTAGTGGCTGCAGGGTGCGAGTTCGCGGGATGCCCTTCCTGGGAGCAGCGTGGCTCCCTAGGGTCCCGTGTCCTGGTCAGACCAAGGCCGTGCCCCAGATGGGCCGGAGCGCAGCCAGGAAGGGGACTGGGGCCGGGAAGAGGCCGGGACGGGCGCCGCGGCAGGGACACGCGCAAGCGCCCGGCTGCAGGGGCGGCACGGGAGCAGGCAGCCCAGCCCCACGGCTGAGCGCGCGACGCCTCCACCACCTCGTCCAAGTACAAAGGTTAAAATAGTTTATTGCAACGTAATGCCTGTCTCGGTCGTACAGCGCTTTCCCTTGAGAACAACGTGTGTCTATACATCCAGATGTATACATGGGTACCGGGGCGTGCAGGAGAACAGCAGGCGACCCCAGAGCCGCCCTGCAGCCGCCCTGTGGCCAGCGGGCTCCGAGCCGCTCCGTGCAGCTCCGAGTGGCTCTGCGTGGCTGTGTGCAGCTCCGTGCCGCTCCACGCAGCTCCGAGCGGGTCCACGTGGCTCCATGTGACTCTGTGACGCTCCACGCAGCCCTGAGCAGCTCCAAGTGGCTCTGGGCAGCAGCTCCACGTGGCCAGGCCAGGCCCCACAGCGTGGAAGGAGGGAGAGACCCGCACAAAGCCCCTGCCCCTGCCCGGCGCCCGCAGTTATTTACACAGGAGGCGGCACACAGGCCCTCCCAATCCCAAACGTCCAGGTTTATCAGGAGTTTCACAGGGAGCGCGGCAGGCGGCCCGGGGGCGGGCGGCCGGAGCGCGAGGCGGGAGGGCTGAAGCAGCGTGGGGGGCGCGAGCGGAGACGGCCGCGGGAGCCCGGCCGGGCTCCGGGGCGCCGCTGCGAGCGGCAGCGAGGACGGCGCGGGCGCGGGGCCGGGCTCAGCGCCGCTGGCGGGGCCGGCGGGGGCTGCCGGCCTGCGGCTCCTCGGGCGGCACGGGGGCGGCCGCGCGGGGCCGCGCCGCGAACAGGAAGAGCGCGGGGTCAGGCATGGCGTCGGGCTCGTGCGGGGCACCGGGGCGGCGCGCGGGGCCGCGCGGCCGGTGCGCGGCGGTGGGCGGCACGGGGGGCTCCTCGGGCGGCAGGCGCCGCGCGGCCGCGTGCAGCTGCAGCGAGAGGCAGGCGGCCACGTGGCTCTGGCGCTGCAGGCGGGCATCGAGGCGCGCGGCGCGGTGCCCGCGGCGCTTCAGCTCCTCCAGGAAGGCGCGCTCCTTGCCGCGCAGGCTGCCGCGCAGCGCTGCCACCAGCGCCTCCTTGTGCCGCAGCTCGCGCCGCAGCTCCGCATTGTCCCGCTCGCGCTCCTGCAGACGGGCCTCCATGGCACGGCACCGCTGCTCCAGCTCCCGCTCCAGCGCCTCTGCGGGCGGCCAAGCGCAGCGTCGGTGCCGCGGGGCTCGGACGCGGCCGCGCCGCCCCGGACAGAGTCCGCAGCTCTGCACGTTGCCCAACGTGGGCGGCTCGGTGCCAGCCCAGCGCACGCTGCCCGGGGTCAGGGCTGCGGCAGGCTCCGCATGTGCATATGTGCGCATGTGTGTGCACATGTGTGTGTGCATGTGTGCACACACGTGCATGCAGGTGTCACAGCCAGGCAGCACCCAGGAGAGGGGTCCCTGTAGATGCCCAATCCGGCTGCCCCTTACCTTGCTGCTGGGCCTCCAGCTCCTTCATCTCCAGGTCGTGGGTGAGCTCTGCAAGAGAGGAGGGCTGCTCAGCGCTGCCAGGAGGGCAGCAGTGCGGGGGTGGCCAGAGGAAACAAGGGGTCTCTCTGCTTCTCCCCTGCTGAACCCTATGGGTGCTTGAAATGGCTCCAGTGCTCGAGGCTGAGGAGCGCGATGCCCCGCGGCGGTGGCAGTGGCTGCTCGAACGGGCACCGGGCCCTATGGGAGCCGAGCCCGACCCACGAGCCTGCCCCTGAGCTCCTGTGAATCCAGCAGCAGCTTCCCTGCTGCATGGTGCACGGTGGCAGCAGCTCTTTGTTTTGCAGCGTTTCCCGTGCAAACGTGGTTAATCTTTGCCCTACATTTTTCTCCTAATCTGCTTGCAGGACAGCGCTCATCCTGCACGACTGCTCCTGCAGGCACTGCTGGGCTCTGGGGAGCCAGGGGAGCGCGCGGCTGTTCCGGTGGTTCCTGCTCTGCCCCGTCATGGGGGGCTCATCCCAGTGAGCACGTGGGGCCTCTGCTCGGCTCCTGGCCACTGCAAGACACGCAGCCCGGCAGCACCCGGAGCAGCAGCAGCCCATGGCGCAGGAGCCCGGGCCAGGCAGCTGTGCCCGCGGCTGGCACCCACCTGAGCAGTGCTTCTGCAGGCGCAGGATCTCCAGGTGCAGGTCATGGAGCAGCTCTGTCTGCTCCTTCTTCAGGAAGGCGATGTGCCGCTGCACGCTCTGGATCTGCTGCTCCAGGGACGCCGTCTCCATCGCTACCAGATTCCCCGTCCAGGCCTGCGGGGAGCGTGGAGGGCTCGCGGTGAGATGTGCGCGGCGCATGAGCCTTGGGGAAAGAGGCTCGTGGCCGAGCGCAAGGATGGCTGGGCAGGACGGGGGGAAAATAACCCCCAAGGGTGCCCATAACCCAGGGCAATGCCTTTCTGTATGGGGAGACCCTCCCCTGCACTGAACCTGGAGTGGAGGGAAATGTTCATCTCCAGCAAATCACGGACACGGTCTCAGGGGTCCTGGACAGCAGGGAGAGCCTGTGCTGCAGGGCGCTGTTCCCGTCGCTTCCTTCACCATGTCTCAATGTGTTTTATTTAGCCTGTGTTTACTGCACACCCTTGTGCATCTGGAGCTGCTTCTCACAGCCCAAATCAAATCAAGGAGCATTTAGTTTGATCCCAGAGCAAGCGACTCCAGCCTCTGCTCCTGTCCGAGCCTCTCAAACACTGGGAAGAGTGAAGCAAAGCCTATGGGTACCGTGAGCGCAGAGCCCATGGTACCAGCACAGGCTGCTGGATCCTTAGGGACCTGCAGTCCCGCAATATTTAGTGCTTTAAAATGGATCTGGCGTGTGTGTGGGGGGGGAATCTCTCTCTTGTCTTAGCTTCCTAATTGTTCCCAGGTTTTGGAGTAGCAGGAGGACAGTTTTTAAGTCCTGTAAGTTGTTTTTGCTCTCCTGATGCCCCTTACTTAACAGAAAGGGTTAAAGCATCTCTGCTCTAGTAACTCCCAAAACAGCAGTGCTGTCCCTTGCTGTGCTGCAGTCAGCAGTGATGGCAGTTCCTTAAGGGTGGTGCCAGTGCACAAGTGAAGGCCATTGTCCCGGCAGCTGCCAGGCCAAAGGGAGAGCACAAGGAATAGCGGAGGGCAGGTCCCCTGCCCCAGCGCGGGAGACAGGCGCCGAGTTGCTCTGGAGTGGCTTTTTTAAGAGAGTCGTGGAACCTGAGCACTGGAAACCTCCAAAAGTAGGTTGGGCAAAGCCCTGGAGGGCCCCAGTGCTATTTTCAAGCACTTTGTTCTGCCTAGTTGAAATGTCTTCAGCAGGAATGGCTGAGAGCTTCCATCAAACCTTTCCCCAGCTTTTAAATGGAAATCTACCCTCTTCTGCCAGTGCATCCTTTTTGTTTACAAATAAGTAGTTGTGTTGATAAACATCAAACTGTAAAGACAGTCAAAAATATTATTTCTGGAATTAGAATATCTGTTTTTTTTTTTTTTTTTGGTCTCTGACTTGGGATATATAAAGCATGAATGTATTACCTGTGTGCTTAAAAAAGTGGAAGAGCCAAAATGCGGCGACCTCCTCCACGGCCACGCGCCCCTTGCAGAGGGCTCCGTGCGGTGGCCTGGGGACAAGGACTGTCTACGTGGTCACCAGCTGTGACCCTGCTCCTGGCTGTCCCTGCGTTGGGGACAAATGTGCTGCTGCTCTCCATAGCTATTGGACCTCTCTGTCACGAGTAATGATACAAGAGCCAACAGCTATTAATGAAGCTACAATTTGGTCTGAAGCTCCAGTAGCGTCTGAGCCCTCCAAGTGCTTCTGATGTTCCATGAGGCTCATGAATGAATTGCTGCCTTGCTAGGGCAGTTTCCAACCACTGTTCTAATGCTTTTCAGAACCAGACTCGATTTTAATTTTTCTCACATTGCTTTTGAAGTTAAGTGGAAATTGCAAGAGCATGTTGAGCATTTAGCCCGATGCACAGTTCCTTCCCACTGCAAACTCACTTGGGAGGTATTGCGAGCTAATAGGGATTATCTGCTGTTGCTAGCTGCTTAATAACACCTTATGGGGCCACTACATCTTCCTGGTAACACTGCCAAGGCCTTGGAGCTCCCAGCTTGGCTGGTGCTGCCATATAGGGAGGCAAGTGGGGACCTGCTGCCCTTCCCACTGATAGGGGTGCCAAGGAGCAGAGCACTAGCTCCTCTCACCCCACCTCGCAAGTGCAGCACCCCAAAGAACTGCTGCACTGCTTCAGGCAATAACAGGAGGGGAAGTAAACCTGCTCCGTGTCCCCCCAGGCTGCTCTAGCCATCACTTTTTGTTTGTTTGTTTTGTTTTGCTTATTTGTTTTTTAAGACTAGCTCTAAGTTGCCAAAGCAGCTGATGAGGGAACTTTTGTAATGACTATGTACTCTATCACCTCATATATAGCACCTCAAAACAGAAGCAATTCCAGGAAATAACCTCACTGGGAATAATTCAAGGGTAAGTGATGCTCGCCGCTAGCCTGAAGGATGCTCCGTGCCCTTGGCTGCGCACGTGCAGCTGCGGAGCAGGTAGCGCCGCCAGCTGAGCAGCAACCCTGTCCCCAAGGGCAGCGCCAGGGTCCGGCCGGCTCCTCGAGGGCAGCGCCACGTTGCAGCCGGCTCCTCTCCACAGGGAGGCGGCGGCTCCGCCGAGATCCTGCACCCGAGCAGGACTCAAGGACTGTCCTTGCCGGCACAGGCTGCGTGTGGCTCTGTGCCCCTTGCTGAAACCCCCCTGGTTTCAGGTTTCCAGAAAGCCCCGAGTGGGCAACAGGCTGGTACTGGGAGGGTACCAGCCCTCCTGGCTTTTAAAAGGGTGGCACTTTGGCACTTCATTGTCGCAGGTCATTAAAGGGACTGAGGGCTACACAATGCCCCTGGAAAGGGCCAGGTATTTCGCTCTTAAAATGTGCTTTTAATACTTCAGTCCTCAGCTCTCAATTTACCTAGGGAGCCTGTGAAAGCTTAACTGGTGAAGTGCCAAATAAGCCAGAGGAGGTTTCTGGGTTGCTGAGTGCACAGTTCCTGGGAGTCGGAATGTGAGAGCAAGTCAGGGAATGTGGAAATGCAGGGACACCGGCAGCCTGGTCAGAGCGGTGCCTTGGGGACAGTGGCCGAGGGCTGAGCTCCCTGCGGGCCCCAACTGGGTGATCAGGGGAACAGCTGGGCTGCTTGTGCTCCTGCCCTGCATCCCTAAAATAAAGATATTTTTATCTTGCTCATTTTCCAACTTGAAACTAAAACAGCTTTGGAGCAAAGCACATAGCTTGTTTGAGGATTTCCTTCCAAGGTAAATCTGTACTTGGGTTTTTATTTGTACTAATCTGAATCTCCAAATTTCACTGCAAGAAAACCTCAGCTCCTGATGATGCATACAAAAATGCATCTGCCTTGGAAATGTATATAAACTCAGCACAAGCATTGCAACACCAACATCCAGCTGTCAGTCACACAGTCACTTTGTGCTATAAGTAGCAAACGAACTGGGAGTCAGGGCACAAAGTCTACAGAAACAGGTAACAAATTCATCTTGCTGTGGATGGCAGCAATGCCTCCCTGCTCCACCATGTTAAAACATGCAGTCATAAGCACTGATCTAATGGAAACTGATAGTGCTGCTTTTTGGATCTGAGAGAATACAAGCAACTTGGCTACAGTGTCACAAAACAGGTATCCTTTGAAAGGGGAGGAAAATAAGGCAGAAGAAAGCCAAGAAACTTGCAGAAGGTCACAGGGATAGTGGCAATGCCAGGAATAGAAAACAGAGGTGAAATCCTGGCCTTGGGAGAGTCATTAGGAAACATTCCTTGATTTCAGCAGAGGCAGAATTACACTTAAAGTCCTATTAACTATTCATTATCTCCCAGTATCTATTTAAAGACCAAATCAATACAAATGATGATTATAATTATTGTGTTTTTTTTTTTGGCAATTCTCTAAAAGCAGCAGGCTGACTAATAGTCAGAGCTAAAGCTTTTCATTTGGTTGCAACTGCTGAAAACAAGGCCATGTTTTCTCCTGCTGGCTTCAGTGGAATTAACTATGGATTCAGCTCACCGCCAGGATTTGGCCCACAATCAACACTCTGCAACAATCATAATCCAAAGTGGGCGATCCTGCACTTTGGATATTTTGTGGCGGAGCTTTCTCATCCCCGGCAGGTCCTTCTACAGATACTTAACTCCGTAACTACCAGTGGGAATAGGCAGCGCGCACTGCTGTACTTCAGATTGCTTTCTCCACAGCAAAAGAAGAAATGAGGTGTCAGCGGCAACGCACCGAATAAAGCGGCGGTTGGAGAGGGCGAGAGAAGGGCTCCGGGCTCCAGGCTCCGGACTCCAGGCAGCTCCTGCGGGAAGAGCCCCTGAGGAGCAGCCGCTTCCCCCAGGCAGGTCCCTCCGGGCCCGCGCTCGCTGCCGCCCCAGGGACCCGTCTGCGGAGCTGCCCACGCTCTGCTCCACCCGCCGCCGCCACCGTCCCGGGCTCGCCGCGTCCCCGCCGCGTCCCCGCCGCGGTCCCGCC